ATTTAATTTAAATAAATATTTATTAAATAATAACAAAAATAAAAAGTGCCATTATTTTTGTCCCATACTGTATATTGCTAGTTTTGATCAATGCTTATTTTTTATTTTATTTTTTTTAAAAAAGAATTTTTACCAAATTTAAATTTTTTCTAGAATGAAATAGTACAAAAATTTTTTGATCATTATTTACAGAAAGAGGAAACTATACATTTACAATAATATTAGAAATCCAACAGAATTTGCTTGTTAATTAATTACTCAAATTAATAACAAATTTATATTTGAAATATTTTATACTTAAATATTTATTGCTTAAAAATTAAATAAACATATTGAATATAACAATATTAATAATACTAAGTTAAATTATTAATAAAATTATTATATAACAAATAATAAGGTACAATAATAATTTGAAAAAGCTTATTTTAAATGATAATTAAAAATGAATCAACATAATGAATTTAATTTTATAAATATACTGTACTTGAAGTACATTATAAAAAAACAATAAAATTCATTGATTTTCAAATAATTTATTAAATATTTATCTTAACATTTTTTTGAAAAATAATAATCCATTCAAAAAATTTTTTATAAAATTTAAAATCATTATTAATTTATAAATTGTTCATATAAAATAAATTTATTTCTATAAAAAAATTATAAATAAAATATATAGCAACTGTAATTTTTCTAATATTTTGAATAAATAAAATCTTGAACAAATCATGCATGTATTCCACAAAATTTATTTGCAAGGACTAATTATGTATAACATACTGTGTATTGTTATTAACGCCGGCAAGTCTGTTACCACTTCAAAACTAGGCTTGCTATTGACTTTAGTTTGGGATCATCTCGTTTGCAATATTAAAGGTACTTGTTAATGCGATAATTCTCTGACTTTCCTTCTTTCCACTTGTTCCTCTGGCATAATCCTTCACCAATAGACTCAATATTGGCTACCACAGGATTCTTTAGGAAACAAGTATTTTATTAAAATAAGTTTATTAATTATCGTTCTGCAAGTTACAGGTTTATTACAAGGCAATTGACTCTCTTCCTATTACTACTCTAATCCTATTTCTATTTATATTAGTTGCGACGCGTCCACTAATCTATCGTCGCGTCATGCAAATCTCCAACAGACTTCCTAAACTTTCCTCCCCACATTGATGCATGAACTGATGCATCGCGCCACATCACGTAACCCGCATCAGTTCCGTCCCTATACCCGATCCTACTGCTAACACTCCCCATGTCTATCTTATACGCTCCGTGAACAAACTCTAAACCCAACCTTCCGGTTCACGGTTCCTAAAGTATGATAGGTCCTTCAAACAATAGTCGGATGAGATGTGAGCTGTGGTGGTCTGGCAATGGCTTGATCATCATGTCCGTCATTATTATCGCTCGTCATATCTTGATATTTCGTGGCAATTAGATCTCCAATGTCGAATTTCTTATGGTAAGTATCGTCATTCATTGTTTCCATCTGTACTAACTTACACTCAATACTAATTGTTGTGGTTCTGCGGTTCCATCTTTGGTTGTCTTTTCCAATCCCTTGCTTCAAGTCACATGACTTTTTGGAACCCCAAAGTACTTCTACCTGTTGGTTTGCTTGCCATACACTTCTTTGTATTTGTCCTATCCTGATAACATCGTAGATCATTAAATCTATGCCTCCGGTCGGTGTAATGTCTTTCCATCTAGATTTCGTAGTGGTGGTACTCAGGTTACATATCATAACCTTTTCCTTAATCTTCCACCAGTATAGAGATATCGGTCGTGGGTGCATTACGGGTGGGTTGCAACATATAACTGTTGTATCCTTCCATACACCTAAATGTTTTGCTTTTGTAATTATCAGCCTTTTGTCTCTCAATGTCTTTGTGCTGTCTATGGTTTCAGGATCGATCGTGACATCCGGGTTGATGTTGATAGTGCATCGTGCTCCCTTGATGTACTCAAACCTCCAAATGGTTCTCTTGGTCGCATCTGTATGCTCGATCAGGAGTTCTTTTACTGGATTGTTTATCCAAACTATCCACCTAATTGTCATTATAGTGTGGAGCACCAATTTCGCAAAAGTTTTGGTGCACATTGTCACTAGCTTTTTTTTAAGCTCTCGGCAAAGTATATCCATTAAATGTCTCTACGATACTGGGATGGTGCGCAGCCTGAACGTCTTATCGCCCAGTGCGTGCGTTTCCCAAGTAATTATCATTTCTTTCATCTTGATCCGATTTCCATCACATGGTCCTGATGATGCTTTTACTAGTGTTGCAGCTCGTTCTTTTACCAACGCTTCTTCCATATGTTCAGCTTGATCATCTGGCTTTGTTGACAGTTCTTCCTGTCGTGCTAGCCATTCAACAGGATCTGAATTGTCGAAATATGGTTTAGTGTCAGGTTCATCACAAATTCTCATAGTGAGATCGTCATTCTTCCCATCCATCGTTTCTGGTCTCGTATTGTAGGGTGTGGGCTGTTTCTTTGTTACCGTACTGTCTTGTTTTTTTGAGACCGCTTTTACCAATTCCCGTTGTCCTTCTAATTCACCTTCACCCTTTTCCTTAGTTTTGTTGACCTTGTCGAAACCCTCTTCAGTTGCCACCAACATTTCCTCCATTTGGGAGGAATGTACTACAGGGCCTGGAGTTTCTGGTCGTGTGTCATCATCGGAGTTGGGGTTGTTACTCATTTCTTGTGCTACTTCCCCTTCATCATCTTCAAAAAATATCAACTATATTTTCTCGTCTTCACCATTCTTTTCTTTATTATTGATCTTTTGTTCTGCCAAGTATTTCTGTTAAATCCCTTATTAGTGATCTCATCAGCGGATACCTTAGTTTCATCATTCGAGATCGGGATCTTCACTGAGTACCCCTTTGCGGTTTCCTTCCCACTGCTACTAACGATGTTCGTCTCCTCTTCAGGTGCAGGCATCACATTATACTCCTCCTCATACTTATGATAACTCAGATCTTTTCTTTCGGTCGACACCACTTCCAGTTTCTTTGCAGCGGAGGCAGCATATTGGTAATATACTTCATTCATTTTCTGCATTTGCTTTTTTAATTCTCAAACGTGATCTTCTAACTCTCTTTTGGCCTTGGCATCAGCTTCGGCCTTCATTGCTCTTTCTTTCTTAATTCTCCTTGCTGCCTTGGTTGCATTCCTCTCTGCGTCAGCTTCGGCATCTATTGCCGCTCTGATTGCCTTTCCCGGGTCAGTCGTGTTTGCAATAGCGGGTAGAGACAATACATCCTTTCGTAATCCAGTTGCAAGCAGCCATGCTGCCAGTTTCTTATGGTAGTCTTCCTTGGGGTACATCTTTACATCTTCTCGAGTAGCCTCGCAAACCTACGGACATACTCTATCACCTTTTCACTCTCTTCTTGCTTTATATCTTCTAATTCTTTTTGCCATTGGCGCCGTTGTTCGAGTATCATGAAGTGCTGCATGAATGTTGGTGCAAAACTTTCTTTGCGGTCGTATTCGTCATTCCAACAGGTAAAATGGCTCCAGTTTTCCTCGTATCATTCTAATGCATCCCCTTTTAAATACACACCTATCTTTTCTGTAAGGGGTAAAATAAAAATAGTCAATAATAAAATATCTGTCTAACATTAGCAAGTGTCACGATAATAAGACCATAGACATGTAATTAACGTGACGAAAGTGAGCGACGATGATAGAAGATCGTATGCGCCCCACAACAAACAATGATACTATGTCGACACGTGATCGATCTACGTTGGATGACGAGATCCGATCCTGTCACGACTAGTCAAGTTAATGACTGTAAGCAATGACAATGACATTGTGAGATTGCTCATCATCATGTAATAATGCTTAAAATTGTCATTCTGTAACTCGTATAGTTAGACAAGAAAATATATAAATAAGTGAGAAAATGTTGTTAATAAAGGGGGTGCGTGTACAAGAAGTGAGAAAGACTCGGCTGAATCGTGCGCCTCAAATCATCTATTTTAATTAAAGAAACACGAGTGATGGTTATGCGAACCCCTGTTGGCATTAGCGACAGACTAGCTGTTTGCCTGTTACACTTCCCACTTCTCATCGTCTGTCCATCCGTTTCATTCAGTGGTTTCGTTGTAGAGTCTTATCCACGAACGTGGGTCTTCTACTCCATCTCTGAACTTCCAGATTCTTGTTTTTTGCGTTCTCTTTTCTTTTGGCTTGGCTCACCATTTTCGTCTTGCACATACGTCCAGTGGTCTTCTTGGGGCATCTTGTTGTAAGAAGGGGGGGGGAACCAGCTTCATCATCCGTTGTATCATATATGATTTCGATTATGACGCCGTTGATTATTAATCGGAGTGTCACATGTTGCAGATAGTCTTCCTAGATGATTCCAAAGAGGGTATCGTCTTGTTTTGACAAATAATTATTTATTAAAAATTCCTATTTTTGACGTTTGCACAAAAATATCGGGGGGGGGGATTCAACATTGTTGCTTGTATAATCTACTTAGGTCCTCTACCAATTGTTATTAACGCCAACAAGTTTGTCATTGCTTCGGAATTAGGCTTGCCATTGACTTTAGTTTGGAGTCATCTCGTTTACAATACCAAAGGTACTTGTTAATGCAGTAATTCTCTGACTTTCCTTCTTTCCACTTGTTCCTTTAGTACAATCCTTCATCAATAGACTTGATATTGGCTACCACAGGATCCTTTAGGGGACAAGTATTTTATTAAGGTAAGTTTATTAATTATCATTTTGCAAATTACAGGTTTATTACAAGGCAATTGACTCTCTTCCTATTACTACTCTAATCCTACTTCTATTTATATTAGCTGCAATGTGTCCACCAATCTATTGTCGTGTCATGCAAATCTCCAACAGACTTCCTAAATTTTTCTTCCCATATTGATGCATCGCGCCACGTCACATGACCCACGCTGATCCCGTCTCTATACCTGATCCTACTGCTAACACTACCTTTGACATACTTAATATGCTTTTGATTAGTTCTAGTGCTGGATAGTTAATACCTTTCCAAAGCTAATATGCGAATTTGTCAAATTACATGAAGGCGCTACAGCTACAATCCTCAGGTTGGCCTCCAAACTCATAACTTGGACTGGCACTTGTTGATATGTAGGTAGCACTACATGTGAAACAAGGAGAAGGAAATAGAAATGATATGCTTTGAGAGTAAGAATGATGTAGTTGATGTTGTAAGTAGCTAGTGAAGGAAACTGATCGTGATAGAAGTAAGTGGCTTTGATTATTAATGTGATAGTGTTGCTGATGGTTAAGGGCTGAATAAGACATGTAAAAAGCCCAATATTTTCACATGAATATGATGAGATTGTTGTTACTTGAATTGGAGAAATTAATGGGATTGGATAAATTGTTGATGGTATTGTTGAGACAGTATGATATGGGGTAGCTATTGTTATTAATGTTGTTATTATTGTAGTTAAGTAAATTGTTGGGGTGATATGACATAGAGCTGGTGCTGTTATTGTTTGAAACCAGTTTGAACTTGTTTGATTGTTGTAGTATTGTGTTGACAGTTTGTGATTGGTTGTTGAGAAAGTGATAATTGTTTGGAGGGGTGGAGCTGATTTTGGTTTTTGTGTTTGGAAAATCTTTTTTTTATGTATGGTGAGTTGGTGCAATATCGTATGCCAGAAGAAAAATAGTTGATAAAGTTAAGGTTGAGTTGAAACAAGCAAGAGATCCAGAAACTTTGCTTGAGTATGATTTAAGAAGTGAGTTTGTAGTGTTGAAAATATGGTGAGATAAAACTAGTGGACACTGGTGGTGAAAGATGGAAGTAGACAAGTTATAAAAAAGGACTGCCACGGGCCTTTCCTCATGCAAACAAAAGATAAGCAAGACTCCCAAACTTGCTTGACCTTTGCCCAGTGGTCCCATTCTGATGCAACAGTAGTTCTTAAAGTTCTTATGTCCTTAGGCTTATAGCATAGATAGTATGTTAAAAGAGTGGTGAGTGTTCTTCCAGGAAGATTACTATAAAAGGAAATTTTTCAAGAATTAGTGGTGAATGGATGAGAGTTTTTTTTTGTATTAATTATATTTATTGAATCTCTATATTTCAGTTAAATTTAATAAAAATTTATTTTATAAAAATATTAAAAGTTATAATAATATCTTAACTATATATTATTTGAAGCTAATATAATTAATGAGTTTTAGAAATATTATATGTCTAATTTCCATATTTATAATTAAAATTTTTTTTTTGGATTTCCTCAGTAGGTAAACATTATTTTTTTATTTGATATTATATATAACAAGGTATACATCATAAAAGAAACAACATCTCTTGGGTACATTGCATACAACAAGTTAAATGCTAGCTTGCCTACTTTTACAATATCTAACTAATATTATAAAAAAATTCAAAATCAATATTAATGTGTTAGATAAGGCTAAGTAGCAGCAATGTTTACCATTCCAGGAAATTTTGCGAATTCTTTTGATTTTTTAAGTATAAAAAATGGAAAAGAAAAATAAAAGTAACTATAACTAAAACTAAATTGAATATACTATAAAATCTATAAGTAGAAAACCAATTATTTTCCCTTGGAAACCCCCAGATAGGCTCGTTGTCCTATCTCTCCAGCTCGTCAATTATCATAGATGACAAAGTATACGTGATATTGTTTGTTGTTATAGTTGTTGGTAGTGTGTTAATTGTTATTGTTATTGTGATTGTTGTTGTGGTACAAAACTGGTTTAAGCTTATTTGGGTTTTGTTTTGATCTTTAAGCAAAATCTGATTGGATGATTAAAGAGTGCCAATCATCTTGAGGAGGTAAACTGATTTTGATTTTTTGTGTAAAAATTTTTTGGAAATTGAAAATGGCACAGCAAATATTGCTATGAAAATATTGTGTGTGTGGGTTGACTTTAAACAAACAGTAGACCCACTAACTTTGTTTGAATATATGTTTTGGAAAATGTTTGACTTAGTGAATATAATAGCAATGATGTACACACCCCTACCATAAATTATTGGAATTTATTAATAAACATACAATGATCTTTTTTTATACATATTTTTAACTACAGAATCTCAACAACTTACTTAATAACTTGAGTCAAATTTTTTTTATTTATTTGTTATATAGGTAAAAAACTATTTACAAGGATTAATATCGGGTGGAATATCTTTTAGCACCAATTACTGCAAGAATATGTTGGGGCATACTTTCAATGAGATTTTCAATAATCAAACCATCTATTTTAAACCATTTTTCCTGCAATAAATTGAATAGCTCTGATTCACTTGTTGGTAAAGAAATATGCCTACAAATACGACGCTTCAATTCATCCCATAAATGTTCAATAGAATTGAGATCAGGGCTGTACAAAGGCCAAGAAAGCTGATCAATATTATTTTCTTCAAACCAATGTAAAGTAAAAGTTGCAGTGTGAATTTTAGCATTGTCG